CTTCATAACATTAGAATTGACGGCCTTGACGAGAGAAAAGCTAAAGCATTTGGCTGGGTTGGATTCCATTCCCAGATCTTGAATAGCTGCAGCTGCGTCCGATAGTAATCTTTTCATGCCTTTCGATGAGGATGTGATTAAGACTAGGTCGTCTGCAAATGCCAGGCAGTTTACCATTGTTCCTCCCATATCGTAGCCTATTCCATCTGGAAGGGAATGGATTACCCAATCCATTGCCATGTTAAAGAGACTAGGGGATAATGGGTCACCCTGCCTTATACCTCTTCCGCATACAATAGGATCCGTATGCTGCTTTTTGTCTGTAATGCGGGTATAACATTTGCTATATAGCCCCTTCATGTAACCAATAAGTCCAGCTGGCATACCCTTCCATTCTAAGATTCTATAAAGTGCATTATGGCTCAGATTATCAAAAGCTTTGGCAATATCCATAAACGTTATATGGATTTCCTTCTTTCTCATTTTAGAGTCGTCTATTATTGACTGTAATGAGAATATATTTTCTGCAGTGCCATCGGAAGCAATAAACGCTCGCTGGTTTACATGATGCAAATCCATTTCGTTTAGACGAGTTGCAATTATTTTGTGCATTTGTCTAAGAGGGACTGAAGCAACTGTGATGGGTCTATATTCACAAGGACCAGCGGGATCATCCGTCTTCGGAATGAATATAGTCCGGGCCGCAGTTAACTTTGGTAAGTGGGGTGGGTTGGACAGATATATATTATAAAATATGGCCCTATGTAAGGGGGCAACAGATTCCCACTGCTTTACAGTGATACCATCGGGTCCCGCTGATGATTTTTTGTCCATAGCGTTTAATTTGACTTCATCAACTGTAACTGGCAGCCATAATGTAAACAACTTCTGATGCGGAATTGGCGTATCCGGCACATTGGGACATGATGCTCTCTCCATCAGCGGCCTCCAGAAAGATTCGAGTTGCTCAATATTGTGCTTGTTACGGGCGATATTTGGTACAAAACCGATTTCGAGCCTTAATGTAATAATATATGTGGAGAGTAGCGATGGGGATAGCATATTATATATAATAGCCCCACATTGTCAGAAAATATTTTATATTCAAAGTAGAGCGGTAAATGAAAGTTGTGTGTTGCGCCCACCAGATTTTTTTTTCTTCTATTTTGGCTTTAGACTTGTAAAAGCAAGTCCTATTTTGCCAATAAAATATTTTAAGATGAAATTACACTGGATATTTATTGAATATTTCTGGATAGATGATCACTGAATGTAACTAAATATTTAATGTAACTTATATAGAACTTAAACTAGAAAGATTAATAATTAAAAACTGAGGGGACAGTAGTTTCATAACAATTAAATGAGAATAAGAAGCGACTTTTATTATATAACTGCTTTTATGTCATTCAAAAACTTTATCAAGTCACGGGCGTTATCTTTATTCATCGACCGAAGAAAGTTAGCTCCATCATCCGTAATTTGCGATCATAAACTAATTCTTCTTCGCTTCTCGAACCTTTTGCACTTGAAGGCAATGTGCCTTGGATCCTCCAAGCATTGGCATGTTGGGCAGTGACCACTCTTAGCTAGACCCATCAGATTTAGATATTTATTAGTTCTACCGTGGTTTATCCTAAGCTTTGTGAGTTTTACTAAGCTGGAGCGGTCGAGATGAGATTTAAGAGTCGCAAACCATGAAACCAGTGCTATCTTCTGTTGAACTGCGATGGTCCTTACCCTTCGAGGCACATTCCCAGTCGTAGATATGCAGCCAGTCTTTCATTATTTTCCCCCTCACTACTCTTATAAAATACAGTAAAGGAACCTTGGCATTTATTCGATGTAGTTGGTTTTGATTTGCCGTTTTTTCTGCCATTTAATTTCCTGATATTCCTACGTGTCCCGGCACCCACTGGAAAAAGTAACTGTTGCTGGCTTTGTATATTAGTGATATGATTTTAAAGGAAATGTGTGTCAGTGCTTTATTTTGATAGATTAATTTTAGGTGTTTACATGCAGTTGCTGAGTCTGTCAGAATAACTATTTTTTGGTTGATGTACGTGTTTTCGCTGTATATTATGGCGTTAGGAATGGCAAATAGTTCGGCGCTGAAAATACTGAAATCAACTGGTATTGATAATGAAAATTTCTGGTTCTTTTGGGGATCATACACAGCTACATACGTAGTTCTTGTTTATTTATTTTATTGTTTTTTTCGTGTTTTTTTTCTTATTGAACAAATAAATAACAACCCAGTCAAAGCCCCGACTCGAATCTTAGAAGCACATTGTCTTACTCACTGAACTATACTGTTCCTGGTTTGTAAAAAATAGTTGATTTTTTGTTTTGTAGTGCTTGTTATTCCTTTTTTATTCATACTTTCCGAAAATAATTCCCTAGCATATGGGAACAGAACTTACTGAACCATCCCTTTCCTAATTTTTATATGTTTATGTACACACACACATACACACACACACACACACACACACACACACACACACACACACACACACACACACACACACACATATATTTATATGTGTTTATCTTTCTCTCTCTCTCTCTCTATATATATAGAGAGAGAGAGATTTATCAAATATTGATGTACCCAATGACGTCGTTGTGTGATAATCCTCTTCACACCTCAAACCTTTATACATTTAATTATCATTTAAATGTATATATATATATATATATATATATATATATATATATATATATATATATATATATATACATCCTATTCCAATTCCTGTCCCAAAAACAGTCAGGCACCAGCTAACCTTTTATGTAAAATTACATATTATCTATAAGACCATATTCACATATAGCTCATGACCTGAATACTTATTATAGATTCGACTTTCTTTTTCTCTTTTTTTTTTTTTTTTTTTTTCAACAGAAACAGATTTTACTGTTAAGAAGAATATACATTTATTTTTTCTGTATTTTTTATTTTTTCTAAAAGGGTTTATTTATATTTTAACATTTTACATAGTTTTAAGTATCTTAGTATGGTTTCAAGAGTTTTTTATATAGATTTTTTTATTTTATTTTGTATATAGTATGTATGATGTATATTTCTTTAATGACCTATCTTTATTTTAATTTGTTATGTTTGTTTTTATCTGGCCAGATGTAAAATTTTAATTTCTGTACTTTTTTGTTATTCTGAAGGGACTTCGTCCCAGAATAGAATTATTTTTCTATTCTATTCTATTCTATTCTATATACAGATGCCGCCATCGTATCATCAAGCTCCTTTATCGTATTAATAACTATAATATAATAACGAATCATAACACTTGGTAAGAGATAGTACATGCATTTCCTACTATCGACGTAGGAATTTCAATACATACATTTTTTTTTATATATTTTTTTTTTTATTCAATTATAAGTAACTGTTTATTTTTATATATATTCAAGTAAAGTTTTTTTTTTTTTTTATGAAATGAACTCATTGTATCTCTTTTTCGTTCTTCATTTCTCAAAGTGTATGTTTATGTTGTTCAACCCTTATATATAATTTTGTTCATAGTTCAAGTGATTCGTTCATAGTTTTAATTGTTTTGTTCGTAATTTTAAATGCTCTGTGCATAGTTTTACCTGTCTGTATATAGCTTGTGCACCTAAGGTTTTCTTTACTTTTTATTTTATTTTATCAATTTTATTTATTGTTTCAACGTTCAGGCCAGTAATATTCTATTATTTTGTACATTTTTGTTATTCTGAAGGGACTTAGTCCCAGAATAAAGTTTTTTTTTTTCTATTCTATTCTATTCTATATTAAGATGAAATTTTTTTTTATTTTTATTTCTGTATGACATTTACAACTGTATTACATAAATACATCAAGTAAATTTGGACATAATTGATATAATGACATGAATACACTTGCTGAGTAACTACCCAATGGTAGCACTCTAAAGATGAATTTAAAGTTGGATTTAATCAAAAGATGGATCACATATGGGTGACCTCAGCTAAGTCACCAAGCTTACACAGATTTATACCACAAATTTCAATTCACAATTACAGACACATTCACGGTAATGACTACAAACTTACGCAAGTACTTACGGAACGTGGGAATACAAAACAATATCTTAAAAGATTCAACATTATACAAACAGACTTATGTGATGAAGACGGACAGGTTCAAAATTTTAAACATATAATATATAAATGTAAACGATTTGACAGACAGCGATTTGAGTTAATAAAAAGCATTGTTATCAAAAGTGGAAATTGGCCTGAGACGGAACAAAAGTTATTTACTGAATTCAAGACAGACTTTCTTAGATTTATTAGATCTATCGACTTCGACTTACTTACCAGGGATGGCCAGCGTGGGTGATTTCTTGACTTTCTGTGTTTAATATTTAATATTCCGATTTAATTTTTGTGTGTTTGTTCTTTGTATTTTTGTTTGTTAATGTATATAAATTTGAACTAAAAATGTATATCATGTAAAACTAGAAAAGAAACAATTGTAAACAAATTTAATTCATGTAGTTTGTCTTTAAGTCATGGAGCATGAAGGAAAATCAAATAAACGATCTGTGTGTGGAGTTACCATATAGGGAAAAAAATGTATTTATATACATTTGAAATAATAATTAAAAAAAAGGAAGACAAAAAAATATATATGGCATGAATGTAAACATAGAGTTATAATGCCAAATACTCTTGAATGTGGCAGATTGTATTATTTTTTAAACTTGTATTAAATAACCAATTGATACATTTATTTTGACAATGACACAATTCTGCCCACTCATTACCTTATCTAATTTAATATAACCAATGCTAGTTCGTCTATTTTGCGCAGACATTTTTTTGGAATAAGTTGTTTACTCTATTTAAAATCGTCATGCATTCTAATTAGAACGGAATGTGGGAATATAGAAGAATAGTAGGAAGTTCTCAATGTCAAAGTGAATGATGGGTTGGAAATAGGAGTGGGATTATTTGCACAACATTCAGAAAGCATGGAGCATTGGAAAGATAAGGTCGCTATAGTAACCGGAGCCAGCGCCGGAATCGGGAAGGCTGTGGCGGCCAAGCTGACTGAAGAGGGGATGCGAGTGGCCGCTGTGGCAAGGAGGAAGGAGAGGCTACAGGTATATATACTAAATAATAACAATTAATATATTAATTTAAATATAACAAACTCATTTAAATCCAACCTCTTTGGTAGAAGATCGATTACCTGGTCCATTTCATTCGTTTCTGTCATAATACCACAGACATATCTACCAGAGGCGGGGGAGGGGAGGGAGGGGAGGGAGGATTTCGGGGTGAATACCCAAAATGGTAAAATATAACCATGTAGTCCGTGGTACAGACCCCTTTTTATGAAATTATTAACTTCTTCCAGAAACTTCGTAAAAAGCTTCATCTCATCGTAACCTACAAATATTTTAATTGAATATTTAATAGTTGACCGTTGCATTATAAAGGAAGGAGATGGTTCGGGGTTGCGGTCATAAATAGGCTAAATAGTGGTAAAACTATTTTATTGAAAGCCAACGTTTCGACCCGACTTTGCAGGTCTTCATCAGGGAGGTGTGTTTATCTAGGAGTTTCACTTAGAACTGAAATCCATTCTATCTATTTCGACATCGCAGTTAAATGGAAATTGTTTTCTAGAGAAGACAGATTAAAAAATACGTTGGCTATCAATAAAATAGTTTTACCACTATTTAGCCTATTTCTTCTATCTGGAGATCGTCAAACTTTGTTTACTTAATTAGATACTAAAAACTTGAATCGTAAGATAATTTGACTAAAAACTCAAGAAAAGATGTTGCCTTCAAAAATATTGAGCCGTTTGGCGTGACCCACACCTCCAAAATAATGAGGTATTAAAGGACAAACCGCCCAATATTATTGTAGGCCATGTTTTTTTCTCGATTTTGCGATAAAATTATCTTACGGTTCAAGTTGAAAGCAAATATTGAAATAATATTACAATCTGTCTCAAAGGACATTTATAATAGTGATCAGAGATCACACTCACACTCTATGTACAATAAATAAAATAAAACATACAGGAAAATAATATATATACAATAAATTAGAATAAAATAACCTAAAAATAAATAAATAAAAAGAACACACACATACCTATATAATACCAAATTAAATAGACAAGTTTGCCAGCCTCCACGTAGAAAACGCACCAATTCCAAGAGTTTTCGTAAATAAAATAGCTGTAGGTTACGATAAGACAAAGCTATTCACGAAGTTTTAGACGGATATTAATAATTTTATAGAAAGGTGTCTGTACAACAGACTAATGTTTTATGAAAAAAATATTTTAAAAAAGTATTATTGTTCATCTGATTACTTATAATTTGATCTCAAGAATTAATTAAACACCATTACATATAGATAGTTAGTTTCTCTCTTCGAATGTAATTATCAATAACATATTTTTAAAAAACTTTTTTCGGGCTGAAGATTCCCCAAAATTAAATCCTGGATCCATAATTTAATAATACGAAAATATATACCTTTTCCGATTCACAGGATTAATGGATTTTGATTAATGAAAAATCAGAAAAAATGGAATTTCATCGAGAAGTGAAGAATCCAATTTCACAACAATTTCAATAAAATCATTGAAAAAAATAGCAGATTCTAAAACTTAGATTGTTTCAAAGTGAACGAATCGAGATGGAATAAATTACGTTTTAAATATTTCGACATCGCAGTTAAATGGAAATTTTTTTCTAGAGAAGATAGATTAAAATACCTCGGCTACACTATTACCTCAATGAACGAATAATGGTCCGAAATAAATCACCGTTAAACACAGTATTCTTCTCCCTTTCAAAGTTATTTTCTCACTTTCTTATAATACCTTACAATTTTTTTAAACCCTTTTGTCAATAAAATTAGATACATTTTTGTAATTGTTAAATTAATGAAAATTTATTGATATCAAAAATTTAAATGTAAACATTTTTTTATTTTTTTTTAAGACATTTACAACTGTATTACATGAATACATCAAGTACATTTGGACATATGGATATAATGACATGAATACACTTGCTGAGTAACTACCTAATGGTAGCACTCTAATGATATGACTACATTAGGAGATCACGGGGCCATCTTCTTTTCAGAGAGGGTTATCAGGAATTGAAGAGGAAGCAAGGGTTGGGATGATTCTGGAGTTTATTATGGAAGGATAGGTATCTGGATTGGGCCAGATCTGAAACATAAGAACATTAAGATCTTTATGGACAATTTTATTAGTGACAAAGTAAGGAGCATTGAGGATTTTATGAGTCTTTTGTAATTAATGGGAAGTTTAGAGCGTATGTCTAGTAAGTGCTGAAGTAATCGGAAACGTCGAGCGGTTTCTTGTCGTTTCAGTCTAGTATGAGGATTCCAAGTTAGTCGTTTGTCCGGAGTCCTAGGTATCGGATTTGCTCAACAGGGATAAGTGGAGTATTGTTAAAGGTAACTGTAGGACAGGAAGTCGTTGGTTTACGACGAAGGGTAAAGGTAATTTGGTGGGATTTATTGGAGTTTATTTTAATTCTCCAGTTTTGACACCATTCTTCTAGATTTATGATGTGTGATTGAAGCATTTGGGATGCAATAGCTGGGTCATTGTTTAATGATAGGATACATGTGTCACCGGCATATGTGGTGATGACAGTGTTGGGACAGGTAGGGATGTCAGCTGTATAAACTGTATAGATGATAGGACCTAGGATACTACCTTGAGGAACACCAGCGGACTGGGAAAAAAGGGATGAATAGGCGTTATTGTGATTTACTTTAAAGTATCTATCAGTAAGGTAGGAACGTATAATGAGGAAGTATGTAGGTGGTAGGAATTTTCGGAGTTTGTACAGCAGTCCCGGGTGCCAAACTCTATCAAACGCCTGTTCAACGTCGAGAAAGACTCCCGTACAGTACATTCCGCGCTCCAATGCAGAGGAGACTACGTCTACCACACGATGACATTGCTATATAGTGGAATGGGAAGTTCGAAAACCAAATTGGTGATCTGGGATTATGTGTTTAGAATTTAGGATTGAGCTTTGGGGCTCCACCAAACCATCGAATTCCTCTCGTATCCAATCCTTACAATCCAAAATCCTCCGTAAAATCCTTAATGCTCCATACTTTGTCACAAATAAAACCATTCATAAAGACCTTAATGTACCATATGTCGCTGATTTAGCTCGAGCCAGATATCTATTCTTTCATTATAAACTTTAGTCCCATCCAAATCCGCTTGTTTCCACTCTTGCTTCTTTCTCGATTCTTGATAATCCTCCTAGGCGTCTGAAAAGGAGATGGCCTCGTGATCTTCTTACTTAAAATTATTTAGAGAGTGCTACCACTGGGTAGTAACTCTTCAAGCCTGTACATGCCATTTTTTTATTTTTGCGCATTCATATTTACTTGTTGTATTTGTATACAGTTGTAAATTCCATTAAATAAAAAAAAAAAAAAAAAAAAAAAAAAAAAAAAAAAAAGAATTTAGGATAGGGTACAGGCTTTTTAAGATGAGTTTTTTCTAGGATTTTGCCCATGATGGGTAAAAGAGAGATAGGACGGTAAGAGGATGTGTATTCTGGTGTTTTTTTGGGTTTGTGGATCATTTTAACAATAGATCGTTTCCAATCTAATTTTTGAATGATGGATATTTCTATGGGATGAAATGCCTTGGGTGGCAGAGACATTTGGAGAGGAATATCCAGTTCTGCTTCAATACAATTGATGTGAGTTGAATTAAGGATATCGGGATGTGGGTTAATGTAAAAATAAATTAGCAAACTAGACTAGTTATTCAATTTTTTTTAACCTTCTGAAATCAATATAATTATTATATAATATTTAAAAGGTAAGGTTCGTACCATTATAATGTAGTCGCAAAATATTTTGAAAATACCTTATATATATTTTGTTCTTGCTTTTGTATAAACATTTTTTAAGTGTGTTGTTCGACTAAAATAGTATTAGATACGTTAAATAAATATATAAAAACGGTATCTTTTTAAATATTAGAGGTTTAATTTCCACTGAAATATTAATATGAGGCCCCCCTCCTTTATAAATAGATGTTTTCTGAATATATAATTTAATATAGTTTACAGCAACCTTGCAAAGCAGTCTTGATGTTATCATCAGTGTATCTATTAATTTGTGCAATGACATGTTATAACGTAACTGTCAAGGCTTCTATAATACATGTTGTTTAATTGAATAACCTATCAATTGAATTAAAGTATATTTTGAAAAATTAATAATAACCCAGCGAAGATTTCTGAATACTTAATATTCCAAATTGATACGGATGAACTATTATATAATTAGTAAATATCACGGATGGGATATCAAAGGCCCAATATTTCGATAATATCGACTATCGATGGCAATTCCTAGTATAACCTAGTCCAAATTTACATATAATATATATCTCTCTCTCTAATGAATTCGACGTATAAGTTAGGGGAAAGTCACCAATTATTAATACTTTAACGAAATATTTCAAGTAATTTACCAATAACTTTTTTATTAATTAATCTATTAATCCATATCTATCTACGTGTTTAAAGTTTTTCATACTAGTCCAAGTCAGTTCTACAGATTCCGCTTATATAATGGCCAAAATACTATAAAGTTTTCAATTTTTTGTGCCCAAAACCGATGGCATGTTTTTCACCAATTATTGACATGCAAAAACCAATTATTGACACTATATTCAACAATCAAACGAGTTTATTTTCAACAAAATATTTTTACTTTCCTACCTATACAAGGTAAGGAAAGAATTGCGATCTATAAGTTTTAGGCCCTCCCGAGTCTCAAAAACACATTTTCAGCCATTGGTCTGTCTGTCTGTGCCAAGATTATCTCGGGAACTAGTGTACCGATTTTGTTTCCTTCTTTTTTTATTTTGTAGGGTTTCGACTACTTAAGTCTATGACAAAATTGGATAATAGATGAACTACAATAGATAATGAAATGAATTTCTATTGGAAGTATGGTGGTAACTGAAAGTTGTGTGATTCAACACATTTTTTTTTTTTAACAGTATAATTATCTTTCAAAGTTGTTCTACACTTTTATAAATCCTTACAATGATTTATTCAAATAATATTTGTTATAAAAATGTTCTGACGTGTAATATTGTATTTAACAATTTTGATGACAAGAATAATATATATTTATAAGAACTTGTTAACTTGTAAAGTAAGGATATATGAATAATAAATCAATCAATAATAAATAAACTACATGAATAAATAAAATGTGTAACCTAAAATCGATTAAAAAAAATCGACTATACGTTGACTAGGCTACAGCCTAGTAGTAGTTATTTAAATATTTTATTTAAAACAAAATTTTATTGATTTATGTCTTTGCTTTGCCTAGATTTTAAATTATTATATATGAATCGAATTTTATTTATTATTATTTTTTTTATAGAACAAGAAAAAAATGAATATGATATTAAATGAGCTATAAATTACAAAATCCAAAAGTAAATTACAGTAAAGTAGAAGTGCATGTAAACTTTTGTCATGAAAAAAAGTTAGATTGTGTTAAAGACGCTTAAATGTGAAATTTTATAGAAACCAAAAATTTAAAATTTTAATACTTTCTTTTAGGATACTTTCTCCGGCCGATAACTAAAGCATTCATAACTTCTAAGGTTTTTCTCCAAAATCAACGTTAATACAACCGTCAGTAAAATGAATTATTGTTCTTCCAATTCACATCAATATTTTTTAGATTATATTTAATTTATTTTCCTCCCAAATCTCGTTTTCTATGGGGCAAGTTAGTGACCAGTAATCAGATAGCCATATATCAAACTTGCTTTACCATAACATTGTACCCTCTTAATTTGGGATTTATAGAGATTTCAATACTTTCGAAAGAGTAGATAAAGTTGTGTTTCTGTTTCCGAGAATATGATTTTGCTCTCATCAATGATTTGAAATAAAAAATAATTAAAATCAATAATAAATAAGCTACATGAATGAATAAAACATTTTGATGATATGAAAAATATATATTTACAGGAACTTGTTAACCAATATAAAGGAAGGATATACGCGTTTCCTTGCGACATTACCCAAGATGAAGAGCTTGTAAAGTTGTTCAAGACGATAGAAGAAACGATTGGACCTTGCCATGTTCTTGTGAACAACGCTGGAACTGCCTTCAAATCAGATGTTTTAGGTATTATTCATTTCTTACTATTCTTCTTCATTACTAAAAATATAACTGACTTTGGTAATACTTCTTATATGTTGCCCCATTTCGATGAGTTGATCCCCTCTCTTGATCAAACTACTACCAGTATTCTAAAAATGGTCTAAGATTGATTAAGTGTTTACTGATACAATGAGACAATGAGAATGAGAAAATAATTTTATTCTGAAACTACAGTCCTTTAAGGATAATAACAGAGTTACATATTTATGAGTCTGGCTTAGAATAATTCAAAATTATGCTTAAATTAACAGCTGATTGTTATGTCACAACGCTCTTTTATTTACAGCGCGATTGTCGACTCCTGCAGAATTTCAAATGGTCTTTTTCAGTTAAAATCTGGGCCATCACTATCTTTCATTACATCGCTGGTTTCGAATTCTGATCATAAGGGGATTGTCTGGCACCATTATTTTTTAAAGGTTGCACATGTTTATGGGATTTTGAATGTATGACGGGAGGTTATAAATTTTTACGAGACTATCCATATTTTGGGGAACCACATATTTCAATTAGCAAGGACGATGTTCAGATAGGTATCACTCAAGGTACCAATAGGTAACAACATTCCTTCTTGGTGTTTTTCTTTTTCAAGTCTTCAGAAGCAAAAACCCTCCCTACATCTCTCTCAATACCAGATCTCAACCTATAAATTTATACATCCCCTCCCATAAAACCACATCCTTCAGTAAATCCTTCGTCATTCGTGCTACCTCCTTTGGAACTCCTTAACCATCTCCATACGTCAAACCACGTCCATAAACTCCTTCAAACAACTCCTATTCCACCATCTACTACAAATTTAAACTTCCGCAAGCTTGTTGAAATTTCTGGGTTATATAATTACGTTGGCCACCAGCATTGATAGAAGTCATTTTATTTTTATTTATTAATTTTTTTATATCACAGTATTTTATTGTATATATCTGTGTATATATTGTTAGTATGTTTTGTAGATATTTATATTTTCCTTGGTATTTTTTATTTTTTTTTATATATTTGTATTTTCCTTAGTATCTTTGTGTGTAAATCCATTTAATCAAATGGATTAAGGTTAAATGCCGCCAAAACTCAGGCCATTGTCATTGTTTCCAAGCCCCTTCTTAGATCCTATCCAGACTTTCCCATCTTTCACCTTAATGACCAGCCAATCTCCTTCTACTCCTCTGTTAAAAATTTAGGATTTTTCATTGATCAAAACCTCTTTTGGAATCACCATATTTCTCATATTTCTCGACGGAAAATTTCCACCCTCAAACTATTCCATCACTTCCGCCATCTTCTACCTCAACATACGCGTAGACTCCTAGTTTCCTCCCTCTCTTTTCCTCCACTTTGACTATAGCTGTGTGGTGTATGATGGGCTCTCTGTGGAGCTCTGCGATAGACTGAAAAGACTAATGAACAGCTGCGTATGATTTGTGATCGGGGCCCCAAGATACTCCCATGTTTCTCACCACTACGCTGAGTTAAAGTGGCTTTTCCCCTCCTTCCGAAGACAATATTTCCTAGGTACGTTCCTCTACCAAATCATCAACAGCCATCGTCCTTCTTACGCCTACAACCTTCTCCAATTCAAATCCTCAGTCCATTCCCTGTCCACAAGATCTCGACGTTCTAACCTTTACATGCCTTCTCACAGATCTGCTTCATTCCAAAATTCCTTTGTTGTTCGCTCTGTCAATTTCTGGAATTCCCTCCCTATCAAAATTCGACATTCCTCATCCATATCCAAATTCAAAACCCTCCTATTCCAATTCCTATCCCAAGAACAGTCAGATAGTTGCTAACCATTCGAGCTGATTTTAATAGAGAATTTGATACATACAAATTCATTGATTGATTCATTGATACATTTTTAATTTTAATTCTTTATTATTTTCTCAAAAGTGTATACGAGTCTATAAGTGCAAATAGCTTTAAGTGCCTTGTCATAGTATTAATTCTTTTGTATATAGTTTGGTTTTTTGTATATAGAATGTTTACCTTATATTTTTTTTATATTATTTCTTTTTTTCGATTGATTTTATTTTGGCCAGATGTGATCTTTTAATTTCGTTCTATTTTGTTATTCTCAAGGGACTGTGTCCCAGAATAAAATTATTTTTCTGTCTATCTATCTATCTAAATATATATATGTGCTTTCAATTTCCTAGGTATTTTTTGTATACATTTGTACTTACATGCCAGACTAATGTACATATTTTTTAAACGCTACTATTATTCTAAGGGGACTTCAGTCCCAGAATAAAATTATTTTTCATTTCAAGGAGTGCAAAAGGCGGTGGACCTCAATCAAATGGTCTCGACTCTCTGAAGGTTCTTCCCCACTGTCTATTCAAGGACGGTGGGGAAATGTGTCCCACCAGACTATTGGTCCTTACAAATCCTTACGGTTTAGAAGTAAATTGAATAAGTATGAGAAGGAACTATCAGAAAGAAATATCAAAGCCTGGTGCCCCACTTGTAGAGTTCTCTGGTCTGCGCAGAAATGGATATCCACCAGGTCTGGCTATTCACGAAGATCGAAAAATTGCATTTTGGAGAAGATTAACGTGGACTTATAGGGAAATTAAACTATACCCACTTCGTGTAGTACGAGGGGAAAGAAAGAAATTAAATTTTATTCTGGTACATTTAGTACCCTCAGAATAAATATAATGGACAAAGAAATGACAATTTTATGGCGATTATGAATAACTAAATGACAATTAAAAATAAATAAATTTACAAAGTCGTCTAACCTTAATATTAAAATAAAGAAACGATACTGTAGTAAATATATGATCATGAAGTAGACATATAGAATTTAAATATGGGTGAGTTCACGTATTTGTACAAATAAGCAATATGACACATACATAGATATTTGCAAGATATAGGTGTAATGTAATTGACATCTCTAAAGTACAAAGTAACTTTATTTTACATATATTTGAAAGATTGGTTACTGAGGAGATGGAAAAATAAATTGTGAATAAATGAGGACAAGGATGAGGTTTTCCGTACAGAGGTTGGCAGAGAATTCCAAAACGAGGTAGCACGCATGACAAAATATTTTTTAAAGAAAACAGTTCTATGAGAAGGAATAAACAAATATGAGGATTAGGACCTCTTGTGGAACAGAGGAACAAGGAGTAAAGAAATCAAGAAAATATCTCTTATTGTGATACACAAAAATTAACCCAAGTTTAAAACACAGATTAAAAAAAGGTTGGTGATTTAATGATTTTTATGGTTATTTGGGGTTATGTTTTTTCGTTTATTTGTTGTGTGTGGTTAATATAAATGTGTTAATGGGGTGATCGTGTGTTAATTTTATTTTGTGTTTTATTAAAGTTTGTTATGAATATTATTGTTTGGAGATTTTTATAATTTTATTTGGGTAAAGTAATTGTTAGGAAAATACTAATAACCATTATAACCCTTGTTTTCTTTATGGTGTCAATACAATTGGGTGTAGGATCTAAAATTTACAGCATATGAAGTGTAGGCGTTATTGGAGGTGCTTTGACTAGAGATTTTATTTTTGGACGTTCGTACATGTGGAGAGGAATTTGTAAATGCTTTTTTTGGGGTAGACCCTGTTAGTCGTAGGTTCATGGCGGTTTGTGTTAAAATTTATACAAATGTCTCTTTACAAGTGTTCTCGTTAAATAGTTTTGGGGATGTGAAAGTGAATTGTGAAAGTCAGTTTTTATCGGGGACAGTCTTGGTAAAATTATTTGATTTGAGTTCACCTCCAGACTTATTATTGATATTAAAAATGTTAGTTTGTATGTATTCGAATGTATTGTTAAGGCTGAGGGAAAAATTTGGAAAAAAAAAAAAATGATTGTTCAATCAAAGTTCTTGCAGAGCAACACCTAGACCTTAGTCGAATAATTGCCGTGTAGTTTAGTATAAGTTGCCCAAAGGCGAGTCCCGACGTAGTCTTGGGTCGTGCAAACTCAGTGTCGTCATGGTCTTATGGAATAACTTAGCTCAAGGTCTCGCGGTCGGTTCGTGCAGTACTGTATTTTGCTGTAAGGTGAATGAAACCTAACCAAGGCCTGTATTGAAAAATTGGAGGATTTTAAATTGCAAAATCTTTATTGTGTGGTGTTATACAATGTTATTTTACTTTTGGTATCTTAGATTGGGCGAGTAGATGTAGTAACTATTTTAGCCTTGGAAGGTAGTGGGGTAGTTTATAAAAAACATCGAGTTTTGTCTGTTTACAGTCCTAGGTGCTTGGGCTGGCAAACAGTGTAGGCGAGCCTTAGGGGCGTGGTCTGCAATTAGTGATAGACCTATAAGTGCAAGACAGACCGATTGGGGGCTATACACTACTTGTAGTCATGTTCATAGTGGTCTTAGGGGGAACCATCATAAGATCTGGAGTCGAGTAATTTTTGTGCGGTGTTGAGGGGTGTAATGGTTTCCTGTCGACTTTATATTTAGTGGTTTATAGGTTGTATTAGGAGGATCGTTAGAATTTTCTATTTTCTAGTTTTGGTTGGTTGGTCATAATCGTGTATGTTTATAACGGGTAGTTGGTTTCATGGTGTTTTTATTGTTTTCCAGAATGTAATTTAAAAGAATGGCGTTACATGTTTGATCTCAATGTGATAGCAGTGGGGGTAGCTACTAGAGAAGCAATATCTTCAATGAAGAGGAACAAGATTGATGATGGACAAGTTATTAATATTAGCAGGTAATGGAAATGGACTAATTTTTTTTTTTTTTAATTTCTTATAAACAACTTTAAATATTTAAAAGCATATTGGCCTACGAAAACTTTAAACCTTCCAATCGAAATTATTAATACTTATAACAAAAGCACATTAGTACATAATTAACATAACAATACCTTTCCCTACCAATAGTTGACCTACAAGTAACGAGCTTTTACGAAAAATGCTATGAAAATTTAAACGGACATCGGTTTAATAAGAGAAATAGCTATAGCTTACATACTCCTGAATAAGAGGAGGATACTGAAAAGGCACTGGATGAGAGATCTCCTTCCTTAAACAGCTAAAGCAACTGAATCAAGCCAGGGAAAAAGTGCTGTTGGGTTCTGTCCTTCATTATACCTTTTGATGGTTAATAATAATAACTATAATAATAATAAGGCTTAGCGAACCCGAAGGTTCGATGCCGACACCACCAATCGCTTGTTACACACCTCCCTCCACCGTTCGCCGTCCAAACCCAGTCCCTTCAGATCGGCTTTAATGCAATCTTCCCATCTTCGCTTCGGTCTACCCCTCGGACGCTTACCATTCGGTACAGCAAATATTAACCTTTTAGGAATTCTCTCGTTACTAAGCCCAACAACTTTACAAGCCCATTTGATTCGCCGCGATGAAATTACATCAATTATATTACCCGGATACATCTCACGCAATTCGGCGTTGTGTAACCGTCTGAACTCTCCGGTTAACTCATCCTTTTTCGGTCCGAATATTCTACGCAATACTTTATTTTCAAAAACCTTAAGACGCTGCTCATCCCTTAATGTAAGCGGCCAAGTTTCGCATCCATAAAGAACTGTAGGTAAGATAATTGTTTTATAGATTCTAATTTTTAAGTTTCGGGACAAGAGGCGCGAACTAAGTAGTTTTGTCACAGAAAAATCACAAGCATTCCCCGCCTTCAGTCTAACCTTAATCTCTTCTTCAATTTCGTTTTTTCTAGTTATCGTAGAACCTAGATATCTAAATTTATCTACCTGTTCAAACATATTACCATCTATATCGATATCACCAGTAGTATTGCCATTTTTGCAGCTAACCATATATTTTGTTTTATCCACGTTTATTTCGAGTCCTAGTTCTTTCCCGGCTTTCATTAACGTTGTCGTATTTAGTTTTATAGTTTCAACGTCTTCGCTTAACAGTACCAGATCATCAGCATAGCCCAGCACGGATGTTGTCCCGCCCAGATCCAACCCTTTCTCGGTTCGCATTACCTCCCTAATGGCATGCTCTAATGCCAAATTGAACAGGACAGGCGAAAGAGAATCCCCCTGTTTTAAGCCCGAACGAACCTCAAATTTTTCGGACAAATTATTACCGATTCTAACTTTATTGAGTGTCTCCGTCAAGCACATCCTGACTAGATTTACTAGTTTTTTTGGAATCCCCTGCTCGATTAGAATATTATACAGTTTCTGGCGGTCAATAGAATCGTAAGCCTTTTTAAAATCTATATACAGCTGGTGAACAATACCGTTATACTCCAATTTTTTCTCTAATATTTGCCGTAAAGAAAATATTTGATCAATAGTCGAACGATTCCGTCTAAATCCGCATTGGTAGTCTCCGATAATTTCCTCGGCGTATTCCGTGATTCGACTGGTTAAGATTAAAGTGAATATTTTATAACATACCGGAAGGAGTGAAATTCCTCGATAGTTATTACAATCCGTCCTCGGACCCTTTTTGTGAATCGGAATAAGAATAGATTCTTTCCATTCTTCAGGCAATTTCTCGTTCACCCAGATCTTTTTAACAACCGATGTATTTTAGAAATTCCAGCTTCCCCGCATGCCTTAATTAGTTCAGTAGGAATATTATCGATTCCCGCTGCTTTATATGATTTTAATTTTCCGATAGCTACTTCAACTTCCTCTTTACTTGGTCCTTCTATTAACGGTTCAGCACTCTGGTACTCAGAAGGAGGACACAGATCATAATTTCCCGTATTTAAAATACTGTCAAAGTGGTCCTTAAACTTATTCAATATGTCAGCCGGATCGGTCAGAATATTGTTATTATCATCCCTAATTCCAGACGTTACGGGCCCTACATATTTTCGTGATCTGTTTATACCTTTGTACATGTCTCTTACGTTATTTTCGATTCTGTTAGTTTCTATTTCAATTATTTTATTTTTAAGATACTCCCTTTTTTTATTTTTGAGCAATTTTGTCGTTTCGTTCTTTGAGATTCGGAAGTATTCCAGATTGTCTTCGCTAGGATTATTTAGAGCTTTTAATTTAGCGGCTTTTCTTTTTTCACACATGTTTAAGCAATCTTCATCAAACCACGATTTGTTATTCTTATTTTCCTTTTTTCCTAGACACGAGTTACCGACCGCTTTAATATTATCTCTGATCTATCCATAACTTGTCAATATCCTCGTGGTCCTCGTCAGGAAGCTCTAAAGCTTCAAACCTATTCTTAACTTCTAGCTCGAATTGGTTTCTAATTGATGGATTTTTTAATTTTTCCAAATTAAAATTCTCAAAATCGAAACGGTTTTCTTTTCTCTTTTTTATATTAAGTTTTTGTCGAAGTTTCGCGATTACTAATTCATGATCCGACCCACATTCTGCTCCGCGATAAGACCGTACATTAATTATACTGCTTTGCCAGCTGTGTTGTATCAAGACATGATCGATTTGATTTCGTGTTTGCGAATCCGGTGATGTCCAAGTATATTTATGAATATCCTTATGTTTAAACGTCGTACTTTTAATTATCAGGTTTTTCGAGATGGCAAAGTTTATCAGACGGATCCCATTATCATTACTATATTCGTGCAAACTTTCTTTACCAATCGTCGGAATATAAACATCTTCCCTTCCTACCTTTGCGTTCGCGTCACCTACAATTATTTTCATGTAGTTTCGTGGAAGTTTATCATAAACCCATTCGAGTTTATCGTAAAATTCACTTTTGACTTCATCGTCACTGTCTTCGGTCGGACAATGTATGTTTATTAATGCGATTTTAAACCAACGTCCCTGAAATGTAGCTACCGAAATTCTATCACTAAAGAATTGTACGTCTCTCAAAGCGGATAGTAATCTACGCCTAATTAGAAACCCGGTACCTAAACAATGATTCTCGCTTCCTCCGTACCAAATAGTGTACTTTCCTTCCCTCATCGAGCCCTCCCCTGGCCAGCGAACCTCTTGCAGAGCCACGACATCCAAATTGTACCCATTTACCTCATTCGCGACCGATTTTAGCCCCCCTGCTGTGTTTAAACTCCTTACGTTCCACGTACCAATATTTAAATCCCTATATTTCAACTTGCGCCATGAATCCCCACCTTTTGATGGTTATAAATAAATATTATAATACAACAAAAAAACTAAGGTGTGTACTTTAGACCACACAATAAAAATGAAAACATCATCAAAAAGAGATTGATAATATGAAATATAAATTATAAATGATACCTAGGACTCCACCTTGACAAACGACTCACTTGGAACCCCCAAACCAGACTGAAACGACTAGAAACCGCCCGACATTTCCGACTACTCCAGCACTTACTAGACAAACGCTCTAAACTGCCGTCTATATTTACGAAAGACTCATATATATTACTATAATAAGGCCTATTTAGACTTACGGGATCGAGCTTTGGGGCTCCAATAAACCACCAAATCCTCTTGTATCCAATCCCTACAATCCAAAATCCTTCGTAAAATCCTTAATGCTTCCTACTTTGTCATAAACAAAATCATCCATAATGACCTTAATGTACCATATGTTTCCGATTTAGCTCAATCCAGATACCTGTCATAATAAACTTCTGAACCATCCGACTCCTCTTGTTTCCAACCTTGCTTCCTCTTCGATTCCTGATAACTCTCTGAAGCGTCTGAAAAGAAGATGACCTCGGAACCTTCTAAAATAGAAATATAATTGGAGTGGTACCAATGGGTTGTTTCTCTTCATGTTGTACATGTCATGTTGCTTGTTGTATATATTATTTAAAACAGTTTTAAATTCACTTAATAAAAAAAAAATAAAAAAAATTATAAATAATAGCCCATTCATTACAGAGAGGATGAAATGATGAACAATTCCCTCCCTTACAGTATGCTGGTTCGACTTTTTGTTTTTGAGATATTTTAATCTATCTGCAAAAACACTTAGAATTAGTCGACTCTAGCCGACTTTAGCCGAGAGTTACACATCGGAAATTTGACACGGTAATCTAATTCACCCTCCACGAAACTAGTGCAACACGCGTCTTCAGAATTATTCACTTCAAAAAGATTAATTTGCTTAATTTTTAGAATAATTATAGATTATAATTTAGAAAAATTCCAAACCACACAGCCACAACAGCCAATTAGCCAATGGGATTGGATGACATGGAGTGACGTTCGATCATCAGTTCTTTTCAGCCCTGATGATGACTGAATCGGCGAAACGTTGACGAGTTTGTTTTCTTTGCCTGCATTTCGGAAACATAAGGCTGTGTGGCTTGGAATTTTTCCGGTAATAACAACCTAACATTTATGTTGTGTCTCTTGATTAGTTTGTTATTAATTTATATTAATTTTATAATAATAATAAATATTAAAAATTATTACTATATTTTTGACAGTATCGCCTCGAAGGGTATACCTGGGCCAGAAGGGATAGGAAGACATGTTTATAATGCGACAAAGCATGCACTTCGTGTTCTAACGGAAGGAGCTCGAATGGAGCTTGCTCAACAAAAGTCTGGAATTAAAGTATCTGTAAGTATTGTTAATTTGATTACTTTAACATAATCATAAATAACCCAGATAACCCTCCAAGGTGTCTGAAAAGAATATGGCCTCGTGATCTCCTTATGTAGACATATTATTAGAGTACTGCCAATAGGTAGTTTCTCAACAAGCGTTTTCATTTGATTATATTCCTCTGTACACATTTACTTGATGTATCCTATATATTATTTCTAAAAGGTGTTTTTTTGTCGGTACGCCATAACTTCGTCAATTCCTCATCAAATCCAATGATTGACCACTCGTTTTGAAGATATTCTTCTCCTTCAAATGCGAAAAATAGTCCCATCCCTCCAAAATTCCTAGAAAAAAAGTTAAGGAGGAAAAGAAACTTTATTTGCGGATAACTCAAAAAGTATGCATTTTTTTCTGGATTGTACCCATGATAATTAGAAAGATTACTAAATTACCTAGAAAAAAAACAAAACATATAACCATTAATTTTGGTATACTTAATAATGTCTTCCTGTTTAAAGATATTGCATTTAGGAGTAGAATAGTCTACTACACTTTTTTTCCTGGCTGATATATTAACTTTATTATTTCTTAAAGACATTTGGTTGTTCTTATATTTTATTTTTTTTAAATAATTTGGAAAATCCCATGATTGGAGCATTATTTTGCCTGTATTACATTTATTATCTTTCCAGTCAGCGTTTAATAATAGGTTCTAGCAAAGCAATTTGTACAAATATTTTGGTCTTTTATGTTTAATAGAATATTGTAATCGACTAAGGAAAAAATATTAATTCCTTCCTCACATAATACATAGGAACTACTTATTTCTATATTGTTTTGCTATTTTTTCACTAAACAAAATTTTCTGCGAATTTTTCGCACGGGCAAACTAGTTTATACCAATACAGTTGTAAATATCATAAATTAAAAAAAAAAAAAAAATCATTTATGGAATATATATCATCGATACAAATGTAAACTATCGAATAAGAAAATATAAAACATTTAAAATCCTGCACTCAAGAGAATGTGATTGTAATTAAATATTTTTAAAGAGCGGATGCAAAATCTTCCAACATTCATAAAAGCACATATTAATGTAAAAATTAAAACATCCTCGTTGTTTGTGTTAGATTTATAATGATATTAGAGTGGTGATTTTCATATTCGATAGTAAGCACTTGTATCGACGATTATAAGGGAAAATATTGTGATCATGAAAATGTTTGAATCAGTGCTTACATTGAAAATACGTGTTTCAAGGTCCTTTCAAAGTCCAAATAAACAAGTCTCATAGAAAAGTCTTAGTGTATCTCTGTGTATATGTGAACAGCATAGCTCAAACTTATCTTAGATGGAGTCTACTGAACCACGGGCGGATCTACGGGGGGAGGGGGCTTTCGGGCTGAATCCTCCCCCCCCCAAAATGGTAAAATATAACCAAGTTTTATGGAAAAAAATATTAAAAAATTATGTCTTAAAGTATTATTGTTCGTGTAATTACATTTAAAAGGACTTAAGGAATCACTTAAACACCATTTCATATAGATAGTTAGTTTCTTTCTTTTTTTCCCAGGTAATTATCCTCATTTTTATGAAAAAAAAAAGCTTTCGGGCTGAAGCCCCCCCAAAATTAAATCCTGGATCCGCTAGTGCACTGAACCTTCTTCAGTTGTAGTTGTATAGTTTTTTTTTTTTTTTTGCTGTTTTTATGTTTATAAAATCAATTGTTGATAAATCATTTATAGTGAACTCATACCTCTGTTATAGACGATTTGTCCAGGTGTGGTGGAAACTGAAATTTTTGAAGTTGGAGGTTGGGGAGATATATTTCTAAACGACCAGACTCCAGCTCTGCAACCGAATGCGATTGCCGACGGAGTTGTGACTCTTTTGAGTACGCCACATTCCACGCATGTGAGTATTTAATATATAATCAGATGAATAAAACTTGAACTAGATGAATAAACGTTTTAGGAAATAAGTAAAAAACCACGATTCGTCAATCTGTATTAAAAAGAATAATATTTGAATCGGTTGAAGCGTGAAAAAAAATCTGGTGCGCGCAACACAAAACTTTCACTTACCGATCTACTTTGAATATAAATTATTTTTTTGCAATGTTGGGCTATTATAAAATTTTTTGAAGTGCGTTTTAAACGGAGCTAAAGCTTAAAGCTTACAGATAACAAGTCGTTAAGACCATTATAATTACAAAATGTCTATTTAATATATCGACGACAGGCAATAACAATCTAGTCACTCTATCTGCTTTTATAAACCACACAACTTTCTTTAATTTTATAAACCACAGAATGACTAACTCCAAATTAAACATTTTTGAGTGATGTCATTTTAGTGATATTTTTAGTTGAAAAAGTTATCTATGCAGACAGTGAGTAAGTTGATTCCAGAAGTGGTGATTGCAGTGTTGAAATATAGAACTGAGAATAAAGGTATAAAATTAGGTTCGTATTTCTTATGAAAGATGTTCTTAGGAAAGACAATTTATTAAATATCTGTAGAAAAAAAGTTTTTTTAGTCTCAACAATTAAAAAAGTATCTTTCCTCCTAATTGTCCGATTTTAACGATTTTTTTTTTTTTAGGAAATTCCATAAACTTTTAAAAAAACATATCAACAATATCATCAAAAAAGATATCATCAAATTAAGATATCATCAAAATTAAAAATTAAATAATTCTACTTATTTAATTTAGTATTAATTTGACCGCACCCCCCGATCAACTCCTCAAAAAAGCTTATACTTTTTGAGTTATTCGGAATTTAATTTTACCATCCATCGTTACTTTTTTTACAGCGTCTTTTTGTTGTAGTATGTTATATAGATAAATTTAAAGGGTGTCGAAAAAATGACTTTAGCGAAGTTTCATTGAAATCCATACATTCGTTTAGGCGCTACAGTCTATAGCAACGCAGGTTTTTCTGCATTTTTTTTTCTCCTTTATTAACTTATCAAATTCTTTCAAAAGTTATATGTAACATTTTTTCGTAACTCTGAATAATGCGAAATGGTTAACTTTTTAAAATAAACCATATGATCTTGACATTAACATTGGGCATTTAAGCCCTGTAAATTGACATGAACGGGGATAAGACTTGAATGATATTAAAGACCACTTAATTATACAATGATACACCAAGTTTAATCAAAATCGTTAGAGCCGTTTTTGAGAATATTGTAAAAATTAGCTTCATCGTTGATATAAAGTGGCACTTCCGGTTAGCCGATTTTAACAAAAAAGTTGCTGTCACATCCGGCACATATACAAACCTTAAATTCTTAATATCAGTTTCGTACTAATTTTCGTTTATAAGCTAGACTGTTTTGCGACACTTGGTTATTTGGACTCAAGGGACCTCAAAACATGTATTTCGGTTGAAAACTGAGCTTCGAAAATTTCCACGATCGCAATACTTACCCTTACTATATATTACATATATACATAAGTGAAAGTAAAAAAAACGGCACCCCCAGCACTATTTCAGACAATGGAAGATTCCAATAGGTTGAATATTGAAGATGATAATTAGTAAATATTTATAAAATCAAAATAATATGTACTTATAAGTTCAGGATTTTTTTACCATAGACAGTCTCTATTTTACATTAAAACTTTATTAGTAGAGAAGCTTTCGGTGTCCATACACCATATTCATCTCTATAATTATAACATTCCAATTAATATAAATTAACAATTAATTAATAACATTAACAATATATGTATTACATAATTTTTGAAATGTCCTGCAATTATTATTAGATCATGCCATACATTTTTTTTAGTTTTGTCTATTTAAAAACATAAAGCATGAGAACAGTGTTTGTGTTCTTCGTCTCATGTCAACTTTCTCCGAAAATAGGACTACTCTTTGTCGGACACCATCTTACTGAGTCCTGAGGATTTACCGTCAGCGCCCTCTATATTATCCCAACTATTTGCTAACTAAAGTAACCCGACCTTATTTAATTTACTATTATTTGATTTTTTGTGGATGACTATTATTTGTGAATAGTGTTGTGGGATGTGGGTTAGGGGGTTCTGTTTTGAATTTAGCACATTTTTTTCCTTTATTGCTATATACATGGATTCTAAAAATTTTCAGCTGTGATCAGTAGATTTACGAAGTATTTTAATATTTTCGAATTCTATTTCATGTCTATGTTTTTTTGCATGGTTTAATAAGGCCGTAACTGTTTTTGAATTAGGTTTAAGGGTACTTTTGTAGTTATATATTCTAATAATAATATGTAATAACATATAGGATAAGTGCACTAGTGATGGACAAAGCTAAGGATATTTTTGTCTTTTTTGAATTATGGCGCCGTAATTATTATAGTTATAAACTTCTCCGTTGGACATTTAGAATCTCTAGGGTCTCATTTTTCTATTTAAAACTTTAAAATTGAAAAAAAAAAATCTGTTATGCAAATATAACCTCCATTACAAAAGAACTCTTTTTGCACAAGTGTTGGACACACCAAAATTCAATTGTTCTAGTATTGGACAGGGAGTCAATACCAGTAATAGACATACGATAAAGATAAGATAACATAAATGTTCAACTTACAGTTCGTGGTACAGACCCCATTTTATCAAATTATTAACATCCGGCTGAAACTTCATATATAGCTTCATCTCATCGTAATAATAATAATAATAATAATAAGGCTTAGCGAACCCGAAGGTTCGATGCCGACACCACCAATCGCTTGTTACACACCTCCCTCCACCGTTCGCCGTCCAAACCCAGTCCCTTCAGATCGGCTTTAATGCAATCTTCCCACCTTCGCTTCGGTCTACCCCTCGGACGCTTACCATTCGGCACAGCAAATATTAGCCTTTTAGGAATTCTCTCGTTACTAAGCCCAACAACTTTACAAGCCCATTTGATTCGCCGCGATGAAATTACCTCAATTATATTACCCGTATACAGCTCACGCAATTCGGCGTTGTGTAACCGTCTGAACTCTCCGGTTAACTCATCCTTCTTCGGTCCGAATATTCTACGCAATACTTTATTTTCAAAAACCTTAAGACGCTGCTCATCCCTTAATGTAAGCGGCCAAGTTTCGCATCCATAAAGAACTGTAGGCAAGATAATTGTTTTATAGATTCTAATTTTTAAGTTTCGGGACAAGAGGCGCGAACTAAGTAGTTTTGTCACAGAAAAATAACAAGCATTCCCCGCCTTCAGTCTAACCTTAATCTCTTCTTCAATTTCGTTTTTTCTAGTTATCGTAGAACCTAGATACCTAAATTTATCTACCTGTTCAAACATATTACCATCTATATCGATATCACCAGTAGTATCGCCATTTTTGCAGCTAACCATATATTTTGTTTTATCCACGTTTATTTCGAGTCCTAGTTCTTTACCGGCTTTCATTAACGTTTTCGTATTTAGTTTTATAGTTTCAACGTCTTCGCTTAACAGTACCAGATCATCAGCATAGCCCAGCACGGATGTTGTCCCGCCCAGATCCAACCCTTTCTCGGTTCGCATTACCTCCCTAATGGCATGTTCTAATGCCAAATTGAACAGGACAGGCGAAAGAGAATCCCCCTGTTTTAAGCCCGAACGAACCTCAAATTTTTCGGACAAATTATTACCGATTCTAACTTTATTGAGTGTCTCCGTCAAGCACATCCTCACTAGATTTACTAGTTTTTTTGGAATCCCCTGCTCGATTAGAATATTATACAGTTTCTGGCGGTCAATAGAATCGTAAGCCTTTTTAAAATCTATATACAGCTGGTGAACAATACCGTTATACTCCAATTTTTTCTCTAATATTTGCCGTAAAGAAAATATTTGATCAATTGTCGAGCGATTCCGTCTAAATCCGCATTGGTAGTCTCCGATAATTTCCTCGGCGTATTCCGTGATTCGACTGGTTAAGATTAAAGTGAATATTTTATAACATACCGGAAGGAGTGAAATTCCTCGATAGTTATTACAATCCGTCCTCGGACCCTTTTTGTGAATCGGAATAAGAATAGATTCTTTCCATTCTTCAGGTAATTTCTCGTTCACCCAGATCTTTTTAACCAACCGATGTATTTTAGAAACTCCAGCTTCCCCGCATGCCTTAATTAGTTCAGTAGGAATATTATCGATTCCCGCTGCTTTATATGATTTAAATTTTCCGATAGCTACTTCAACTTCCTCTTTACTTGGTCCTTCTATTAACGGTTCAGCACTCTGGTACTCAGAAGGAGGACACAGATCATAATTTACCGTATTTAAAATATTGTCAAAGTGGTCCTTAAACTTATTCAATATGTCAACCGGATCGGTCAGAATATTGTTATTATCATCCCTAATTCCAGACGTTACGGGCCCTACATATTTACGTGATCTGTTTATACCTTTGTACATGTCTCTTACGTTATTTTCGATTCTATTAGTTTCTATTTCAATTATTTTATTTTTAAGATACTCCCTTTTTTTATTTTTGAGCAATTTTGTCGTTTCGTTCTTTGAGGTTCGGAAGTATTCCAGATTATCTTCGCTAGGATTATTTAGAGCTTTTAATTTAGCGGCTTTTCTTTTTTCGCACATGTTTAAGCAATCTTCATCAAACCACGGTTTGTTATTCTTATTTTCCTTTTTTCCTAGACACGACTTACCGACCGCTTTAATATTATCCCTGATCTCTACCCATAACTTGTCAATATCCTCGTGGTCCTCGTCAGGAAGCTCTAAAGCTTCAAACCTATTCTTAACATCTAGCTCGAATTGGTTTCTAATTGATGGATTTTTTAATTTTTCCAAATTAAAATTCTCAAAATCGAAACGGTTTTCTTTTCTCTTTTTTATATTAAGTTTTTGTCGAAGTTTCGCGATTACTAATTCATGATCCGACCCACATTCTGCTCCGCGATAAGACCGTACATTAATTATACTGCTTTGCCAGCTGTGTTGTATCAAGACATGATCGATTTGATTTCGTGTTTTCGAATCCGGTGATGTCCAAGTATATTTATGAATATCCTTATGTTTAAACGTCGTACTTTTAATTATCAGGTTTTTCGAGATGGCAAAGTTTATCAGACGGATCCCATTATCATTACTATATTCGTGCAAACTTTCTTTACCAATCGTCGGAATATAAACTTCTTCCCTTCCTACCTTTGCGTTGGCGTCACCTACAATTATTTTCATGTAGTTTCGCGGTAGTTTATCATAAACCCATTCGAGTTTATCGTAAAATTCACTTCATCTCATCGTAACCTACAAATATTATATTTACGAAAATTCCAGGCATTTGGGACGTTTTCAACCTGGAGGTCGGCAAACTTATATATATATAATCTAAATCTTAGAAAATTTCACCTCTTTGTATTAAAGGGAAAATATATGGACCGTAAAAGAGAGTTTCAAAACATAGTTTTCCCTATAATACTGTAAAAATGAAATATTCAATAAAAATAATTTAAATATTTGATAGAATAAACAAATATACCAAAACTGATTTGTAACCATTTTTTTTTTTTTTCAGATTGCTGATTTGGTTATACGACCTTTGGGTGAAAAACTATATTCTTAATATACATTTACTTTAAAATAAACATATAAAGTTATTGTTTATTTTATTCACCTAAGTTTAATTAGTTAAAATTAAAAAAAATGTAGAAATGAAAGTTCATAAGATGTCTAAAAAATAAAATTAATTGGAAGAAAACTATGTCGAAACCCTCATAAGCCACTTCACATTGCCCTAACAGATTTTCAGCCCTACAATTGAATTAGGAGGGACTTTACAGAAGTGCAAAAAATTAAAAACAGGAAAAACTGCGTAAGCATCGCAAATTGTTAACTGAAATTTACTCTCACTTTTCTAAAGAAGAGGTTGATTAAATAAAATAATGATAATATTTCAAAATTATTTTTAGTTAATTACATAAAATTCAAATTTCATTTAAAATTAAATTGAATGTATCTTGTTTTTAATACTTAATATTTTATGTAAATAGAATAAAATAAAATAGTTTCGTTCAGAAAATAAAAATGAAGAGTGGTAAAATGAATGGAATATAAATTCAATTATGCTAAAAAACAAATGTTTTGTAGATATGAGATATTAAAATCTTCTAGGCAAATAAAAAAATAATACTTAGATATTTGTATTTATGTAGAAAAAAAATACTTCTATATAATTTCGTTTTATTAATAAAACATTCACCAATGTGATTTCCGCAGAATAGGACACTTTAAAAAATACAAAAATGTATTTTATTCATTTATTAATTATGACTAAATATTTGCATATTGATTTTAGTCCTGAGACAAATCAAAAACAATGTACAATAATTATAAAAGAATGGAACCCTGATGTTGGAGATCTCTGAAATGTAGGTTTGTAAATGTTTTGTTAATAAAATAAAAACATAGTTTTCTCAATAATTCTGTCTTCTACCTTGGTGCATAATATTTATTTTCAAATTTATTTATTTTAAGCCACTTTACACCAATTTTTAATTCGGTAAACTTAATGACCAATTAGCCATTTTACTAAATAGTCAACTTAATTAACCATTTTCCATTAAGTCCATCATGTACCTGTCCATTTCACTTATGTGAATTACATGCATCTACTCATAAGCAAATGTATCACAATTGGCATGTCCACCTTTAACTTGTCATGTGTCACCCACATGTTCTCGGTCTCATTTCTATTCAGTGACTGATCTATTCAGTGATATAATAAATGATGGACTTGAAAATGGCTCGACGAACCGAAACCTTGTAGTCATTAAGTTGACCAAATTAAAAATTGGTGTAAAGTGGCTTAAAAATAATAAATTGGAAATTAAAAGATAGTATTTTTTCACTACTATATATAAATATCTTATTATATTCAAATATATTTCCAAATAGTTGGGAAAACTATGTAATATTAAAAAATAAATTTTAAAGGAAAGTTTATTTCCTAAATTAAAAATATTAACATGCAGAAATGTAAAAGTTAATAAATTACCTTATTATCTTTCATTATAAATAAAATTTATTTATCTTCAATTTCTATTTTTATTTCAGTCTTTCTGTTTATAATTAAATTAAGTTAAAGTTTAAGCAAAGTTTAAATTATTTATTCTGTTTCATTGGCAATGGGGCGACCCTGGGGCACGCTTAGCCTCTATAAACTGGGTAACCTTAATTAAATGAATGATTAAGGGGGAAACCTGGTGGTTAAGCATGATTCTGGCCCGATCACCTCCTTGCATAACCGTTGGCCTCGTAACAGTACTTTCACTAAATAATACTGAATCCAAGACCCTTCATGGATTGTAGTGGAACAGGATTTTTTTTTTTAAAGTTTAAGCAGCCAATTAAATGCAGTTTGGAATGTGAATTTATGTTATTCTTAAGGTGCGATTAGACATTTCACAAACTACAAGAAACATAATTATCTAACTTAACTAACAGCGACATTATTTATAATCTAAACCAAACTACATATTTTATTTCTCTTGACATCGACAGCAGATGGAAAATATCAAAAACAAGAAACAAAAATACTACAATAGTGAAATAACCATTATATATTTGTCTGTCCTATGGTTTGTAAAAGATCTAAACACACCTTTAGGTGACTAGATATAATAAACAGTGGGTTACCAAAGTAATAATAAAAAAAAAAAATATATATGGGCTCTTCTTAATGAAGTAGATTTTTCTGCCATAGTATTTTCTTATAGGAATGAGGATTGTGTAAAAACATTTAGCTTATTACTAATTGCATCATCACTCCTAAACTAAAATATAGAAATTGAAAAATTAAATTTAAAAAAACACAATTTTTTTTCTTTATGAAAATGTTTAATGATTGTACAATATATATATATTCTTAAATTTTACATTGAGCCATTTTTTTTTTATTAATACAAAATAAAAAATTTGAAAATGTAAAAATAAAATATTTAGAATTTATTTTACATATTTATAAAAAATTATGATATGAACTTTCTAATTGAATATAACAAGAGAAAAATAATTTTGAATTATAAAAAATGGTCATAAATGAAAGACAATACTAAGTTCATAAAAAATTGGCAATTTACCCAAGAGGAGATGAAAGTTAGCAGATTTCTATAAACACAAATTTTAATAAACATATTCCCATGTTCATATATTACAGAGAATCAAAAAGATACAGTTTTTAAATAAGAAATAAGGCTTGTCAAATACAATAGTATAGTTGAACAAATTATAAGAGAATCTTTTAATGTGTATGGGCTAATTAGAGAGAAAACCTTTGTCCCTTTAAAATGTTAGGAAGAAATTCTGAACTTTACAGTGAAGTCTAAATATAACCTCCCCACTTTGTTGTTGGTTTCATTAAATATCTTACTTCTTAGATTATAAAACCAAAAAAGTTTTATTTCTTACTCAAAAAAGGTTATTTTTGATAAGATTATTTAAGATAATGAAATATCCATCTACTTAAACAGCAATAAATATACATATATAGAAATAAAATTGAATACAAATAGGTAAAACAAAATAACACAAAGGTTATAAAGATACCACAGACATTTATATTAAAGACCCCAAGAGCCAGCGGTGATGGAATCAGTAAAGCAGCGACTCGAATTTCATCGATGATTTCCATTGATGTGTTAAGAAATAGTTTGATGGATTTTCAATGCCTCGATGTGGTCAGCACTGAGTTTAGGAACTCAATGCGTTCTTAGGCCATAATTTCAAGTTGCTGCGGCTGTAGGGGAAGGGTGATTGCGGCTGAAATCTCCCAAAATTGTAAAATATCCATGTCTTATGAATAAAATATTAAAACAATATCTCTGTAAGTAATATTGTTCGTGTAATTACATTTAATAGGACTTCAAGAATCACTTAAACATAATTTCGTATAGGTATTTAGTTTCTTTCTGTTTTTTTCAAAGTTATAATCGTTATATATATATATTATATATATATATATATATATATATATATTATATATATATATATATATATATATATATATATAAAGTTTTCGGGCTAAACCCCTTCCCCCTCCCCCTCCAAAATTGAATCCTGGACCCACTAGTATTCAACGGTGTTGACAGACATCATTTATGATGGAATATTATAGACCTTAAAGCATTAATTATCAATTTAGTGTTATATGTAAAACTAATTATTTTTGAAGGTGAGTTTCATTTGGACAAATTAAAAATGAAAACCTTAATAACTGCCTTATTAATTTCATCTCCTCTTTTTATTTATTTATTATTATTTTTTTATGGTCCTAGTTCTTTTTTTAGCTACTCTAAAATGGAGCCCGATTTCTAGATCATCCAGTATTTTCAAGAACAGTGTACTCTGGGTGATGTTGAAACCGGCTACTATGATGGAGCAGCGAAGCGGCACTATTACTCAATATATTTTTACTCATTACTAATACAGTAAAGTTGCACATCTAAGTTTGGGTTGTTACAATCATTTATATATCCATCCAGTACATCTAACATACAGAATAAATTTTAATAAATATATGTAAATTCGGTACTTTCATTTATATAATTTTACTTTTTTATTCCAAAGGTATATTATTCATTATATTGAGCACAATTACCAGGTAATAAAGACAAAATATGTGACAAAAATATTCGAACTGCTTCAAGGGAGACATTGTGCAGTAGCTATTGATGAAGCTGAAGGCAACCCTATCGCTGTAGCCAAACCAGTGGATGAAGCACTTGCCAAGAAGGAGGCACATGACATCGATGGTGAACCTTACCTGCCAGGACACTGCCCAAGAGAGGAGGATGATTTCGCCGAGCTTAGTGAGGAGGAGATCGAAGAGTGCCCAACCTCTGGCCTCTCGAATCTCACTCCAGCGGATGAGTCCTTCATTACTGAAGGCGTGCATCGAAAGCAGTGCCATCAGACCTAGGTCAGCGAAATGTAAATGATAGTATTATTTTTTTATATATAATAATATTGTTACAGTCCTAGCTGCTATGCAGCATACTACTGTACTACTATAGTATTCATACTACAGTTATACAGCGTGTCCCATAAATAGAAGGAAATATTTATAGGAGTGTTAGAAGATTTCAAGGCCTACAAAAAAGTCCATATAAACAATGGACTAATTCTCATCAGAAAAGTAGGAAATCCAAGTTTAGTATTTTTCTGTTTTAAGTAAATAATGCTTCTTGATGAATAGATAGATTTATTTGATCAGTAACAATTCAATTTACCACAATCAAGGGCATTTGGTATTAATAAGTCTATTGTAATTGTTTTTTCAATTAAATTAATTATACTTACAAATAAGAGACATGAAAGGACTGAAATGTCTTGCGAAGCTTCCATAAAGGATTCCTGCAACTTGTAGAAGGACGAACTTCAACTCCGTCGTGATCCTTTCTGGGATTAAAATAACTATTAAAAGTGAATGGTAACAAAAAGTAGAACTATTTGTAACTGAATCATATCTTTTAAAAAATTGTAAACATAATAAATTATTGTAGTAAAGGTTGGATGCTATGCATTTAGTTAAACAAATTCCTTAATCGTTTAGGACAGCAAGATGGA